GGTAAAGTACCTGTACTCAGAAAATTACAGGATGCTGAAAAAAGAGAGGAAGTCATAAAAAAAATGGAAGAATATACTGTGTTCATAGATTGGAAGAATCAACATCATTAAAATGTCCATATTACCCAAAGCAATCTTAGATTCAATGCAATCCCCATTAAAATGCAAACGGCATACTACAAGACCTAGAACAAACTCCAAAAATTCACCTGGAATAAAAAAAGACTGAATAGCTACAGTAATCTTCTTTCTCAAAGTTCTTCTTTCTCACAATACCAGGTATCAAGCTATACTACAAAGCCACTGTTCTCAAAACTGCCTGGTACTCACATAAGAACAGACATATAGACCAAAGGAACAGAACAGAGAATGCAGAGATCAACCCAAGCCATTATGATTAATTAATATTTGACAAAGGAGGCAAGAGTATACAATGGAGTCAAGACAGTCTTTTCAATAAATGGTGTTGGGAAAATTGGATAGATACATGCAAAAAAAAATGAAACTAGACCACCAACTTACATCATACACAAACATAAACTCAAAATGGATAGAAGATTTAAATGTAAGATGGAAAAACATAAAAAGCCTAGAAGAAGTCATAGGCAGCAAAATATCAGACATATGTTATAACAACATCTTTACTGATACAGCTCCTAGGGCTATGGAAACTAAGGGGGGAAATTAACAAATGGGACTACATCAAAATAAAAAGCTTCTTCATAGTGAAAGAAACCATCAACAAAGCAATAAGAAAGCCCACTGCATGGGAGAACATATTTTCCAGTGTTATCTCTGATAAGGGTTTAATCTCCAAAATTTATAGGAAGTTCATAAAACTTAATTAAAACAATTCAATCAAAAAATAGGCAAAGGACCTAAATGGACACTTTTCAAAAGAAGACATACAGAAGGCAATGAAACATATGAAAAAACGCTCAAAAATCACTATATATATAGTATGGAATCTCAGAGGGAAGGTGGTGGAGGGTGAGTGGGTGGGAGGATAGCAACCAAAGAACTTGTATGCATATGTACATAACCTATGGACACAGACAATAGGTTGGTGAAGGCCTGGGGCAGGCAGTGAGGCACGCTAGAAGGGGTCAATGGGGGAAAAAGACGATATATGTAATACTTTAAAAAATAAAGATTTAATTCTTTTTTTAAAAAGAGTAAAAGAGGATAGTTTGTGCTCAGCTCAATCTCACTGCTGTAGATAGTTCTAATTTTTTTTTTAAAGGAACCAGGAATATATAGTTGAGTATATAATCTCAAAAAGTTTTAATGTTGGATCAAATTACTTTTAAATATTAAGGAGGCTAAAATAAGTCATTTTATAAACTCTGAGCTATACAAATATACATAAATATCACATAATCTCACTCATATGTGGAATCTAACAAAATAAACTGATGAACAAAACAGATCCAGAGACAATGAAACATGCAACAGACTGACATATTTCAGAGGAAAAGGGCAGGGAGGAGGGACAGGAAGAAATTAGCCAAAGAACTTATATGCATATTAGAGGCCCGATGCACGAAATTCATACAAGAAGCTCAGCCCCCACTGCCACTGTGGCTGGCTGCCTTTGCTTTGGCTCCAGGGTAGGGCAGTTAGGGGCAATCAGGCTGGCAGGGGAGCAGTTAGGCATCAATCAGGCTGGCAGGGGAGTGGGTAGGGGGTGATCAGGCTGGCAGGCAGAAGCAGTTAAGGGCAATCAGGAAGGCAGGCAGGTGAGCAGTTGGAAGCCAGCAGTCCTGGATTGTGAGAGGGATGTCTGACTCACAATAAATACTTGGATCGGGTTTAAACAGGCAGTCAGACATCCCTTGAGGGGTACCAGATTGGAGAGGGTGCAGGCTGGGCTGAGGGACAAAAATCCCACACACACAGGTTGAGAACCGCTAGCAGGGTCACCTAAGGCCATCAGAAAACACAGATATTTACATTATGATTCATAACAGTAGCAAAATTACAGTTATGAAGTAGCAACGAAAATAACTTTATGGTTGGGGATCACCACAAAATGAGGAATTGTATTAAAGGGTCGCAGCCTTAGAAAGGTTGAGTACCATTGCTCTAAAATATTATATACATAGTTTTGGCCAGTAGGTGAACATTTGTACCATTCCGGTTTAATTAAAAGCAGAATTTGAAAACCACATAAAAATCTTAAGAATTAAATCAGACTTATAGCCATTTTCTTCATTTTTAACTCCATAGAACTCTCTGTGTGTTCTCAGAAAAAGAAAAAAGAAAAAAGAAAAAAGGAAAAGAAGCACTACAATTACCGCCAAGACATTCATTTTTTAATGGATATTTTAGTTTTATTTCCAAGACCTCCTGAGATATTGCACTTCACAAACACAAACCATTTGGTTATATAATAGTGATCTAAGTTTGAAGACATGAATGTTTTTTCTTGGTAAATTCGTGAGAGTAAAACCCCCACATTACAAAAGAGGAATGGAGCTTCTGCCAATGACAATGATGCTTCAAAGCCATGAATGAGTTGGCTGTGGACTATGAGCAGTCAGATCCACCCATTGTTCCCAGTTGTTTTGCAAAAAGCAAGAAGAGCCCTAGCTGGTTTGGGCCTGTGGACTGAAGGGTCCTGGGTTTGATTCCAGTCAAGGGCAGATAGATGCCCAGGTTGTGGGCTTAATCCACAGTAGGGAGTGTGCAGAGGGCAGCCAGTCAATGATTCTCTCTCATCATTGATGTTTCTCTCTCTCCCTCTCCCTCTCTGAAATCAATAAAAATCTATTTTAAAAAGCAAGAAGCCAAGGTATATCCATTCTACTACTGGGCGTTCATTCAACAGTTTGTTAATTCTTAGAACACCTGTTTCAAAGGAGATGATCATCTACTTCACCAGAGATATGAGAGAAGGCAAATGCCTGAATGACTGATTTATGACACTTCCAGCCCAAAAGCAAAAAGGCCCTGAAACTAAATTCAAATGTGTTCATAAAAGAATACTTCAATAAGCATAACCAACGGACACAAGACATGGAAGGGGGGAGGGGGAGGGCAAGTGCTGGGGAGGAGGGGAGACTGGGGGAAGATCGATGGGGGGGGAGGGGGGAAAGGAGACATATATACTATTATCTGTAATACTTTAAACAATAAAAAAAAGAATACTTCAAATCCATTTCATTCTCCCTCACTGCATACAACACACATGCTGTGGAAAGACATTATTTCATATCAAAGCCACCAAAAAAGCCAGACCACTTCTAAACCTGTCCTAATAGCTGATGACTAAATCTTAAATAATTCTGAATTACACTTAGCAACAAAAGCCATTCTATCATTCTTTGTCTGCTTAAGCCAATAGTTGTCTGTTGTTTTAATAAAAAAAGAAATGAAAGGTTCAATGACACTTTATAGTACACACTGCTTGTATAACTTTGGTGTGTGTGTGTGTGTGTGTGTGTGTGTGTGTTTGTGTGTGTGTATGTGTCAATTCCTAATTTCTGGCTTATCAGTTTAGTTAACCTCTGCTATTTTCTGGGATTCATTCCAAGGGGACCAAAATGCATTATTAAAATTGGCATCTCTGCTCCTAAGCTTAATTCAGAGAGGCTCTGAAGTAGTCTGAAACCATTTTTTTAATATTCTGCACACAACTTTATGCTAAAAAGTAACAAACACTGTTCAAGATCAGTAATTGATAGGAAATGTGAAATGCTTAGTTTTCCTTCAAAACAATTTTTATGTATTCCAAATGTACAATACTGAAAGAGAATAAGTACTTTGCTGATGTCACATGTTTTTGTTGCAATGTTGCAAATACTCTACTGACTTAAAGTTGAACAGGATTCTTTCAGGTATTGTGAGAGATGATCTAAGTACTTACATATAAAATATATATTTTTGAACGCTTTTTTAAATGTTTTTTTTTCTTTAATTATTGTTTGGAAAAAAACTATCGGTATAAATCATAAATGCCTATTAACAAGAATGCCAAGAACCAATGTCATGAAATTATTAATCTAACATGCAAAAGAGTTAGAGCATTATACATTTTTTTAAGTTGGGAAACATCTTAGATATTATTAAAATGCCCTCAGATTCTCAATCCAACCCTCTAATTTGACAGATGAGGAAACTGAGGCCCAGAGAAGGTAAGCTAACCAGTGTCACAGACAAATGGCACAGCATACCAAAATTCTGACTTCAAGTCCAAAGCTCATTGTTTCAATATCTGGGGAAAGAACTTTAACAGAGAACACTCTAAGCAACCCCTCACTATAAGGACCTCCTTCAGGGTTATGAGAGCCAGTGTCATCCTGTTTACAAATGCAAGTCCCAGAAATGGCACCCACAACACCCCATTTCTTAGCCGGCCTCGTCATATCTGAGGTTTCCAAAGTGATTCCCTGGTTGGGTCTCTTTTTCTCACTTCTACGAATCCCTTTAAACAAGTGCTTTGGTCGGGATTGGGTCTTGTTATTTTTGTTTTTTAATTTGCTTGAGGACAGCAGAAAGGGTGGAAATCAGAGGCTCAAGTCTATAACACACTTTTTTTTTTTTTCTTCTGTCATCCAAACCAATAAATCCTTCCTCCAGAGCCCAATGCTCATGGTTTAAGTCGCAGTCCCTTCCCTTCCCTTCCCTTCCAAAGTCCCAAAGTGCAGGAGGGAGACTGAAAAGAAGTTGTCGGGTTGGCAAGTCCTTTTTCCCTGGCGCAGACAGGTGCGCCCAGGCTCCGCTGGCTGCCCTCAGCCCTGCGCCCCTTCCCCCTCGTCTCTGCTCCCTCCACCTCCACTCCCACCCCGATTCCCAGCCCAGGGGAAGCAGAGAGCTCCCGGCGCCTCTCCAGCCGCCCCTGCCGCCACCTCTCAGGTGGCCCCGCTGAGCTGCCTGAACCCCGGCTCCCCAGGTGGGCCTTGGGCTCCGGGCAGCGCGCCCCAGCAGAGGCTCTTGGATCGCCCGGGGCCAGAGGAGGAGGCAGTGGGGGGAATGGAAGAGAGAGAAGTGGGTCCCACCTCGAAGCCGGGGTCCAACCCGGACGAAAAGCAGAGATGGCACCGCACCTGGGCTCTCGCACTCGCGTGGGTCTGGCTCAGCCGGCAGCGTGGACTCTGCAGCGGGGCTGCTCCGAACTCCTCACCGAAGGGGCCGGGCAACTCTCCGGAGAGCAGAGAGCGCGGAGAGCAGCTAGGGTGTGGGGAGGAGGGGCTAAGAGAGAACGGGTGGGGAGAGGAGAGGGGAGGGACAGCTGGCTGGCGTCAGAGCCCCTCTCCACCCGCAGCGCCCCTATCCACGGCCGCTCCGGGCGGGAGGCAAGGACCCGGTGGCGGCCAGGTGACCGGGGCGCAGGTGACCGAGGCGGCGGCTGTTGCGGGTGGCCGCGTGGAGAACAACAACCTAGAGCTGGGGAAGGAGGACCCTCTGCGCTCCCTGAGGCAGAAAGCACAGGCAAACCCAGCAGGAGGACGGCGGGGCTCCTGGATGCTGCATCAGCTACAGCGCGCCCACTTTAAGCCAGCGCTTCTCAGACTCTTCCTTCGGCTAGGAGTCCCCCTGTTCCTCCCTCTTCTAGACTTCCAGGCCTCTGCTCCGCCAGGGGTGGGAAATGTGCCCTAATCAATTCAGTAACCAGGGGGAGTGGGAAAGGAAAGCGAATTGAAAAGCCCAGGAATAGTGAGGGAGTGAGTTTCCTGTAACCAAGGATGTCAGCCAACCATATTGGTCATGCTTGTAAGGAAGGCTGAAGAGGCCACTTACGCATCAAGTGGGAGGCTGGACTAAATGGCCACTTACCTTTACCGTGAAATTTAATGGCTTTTGATATAGGGTAAAAAGAAAAGAGGGGAAAAAAAGCATCCTAGAACAGTCTGATTCCGGCCTCTAAGTAAATAGACATTTTCTTGTTCTCCACTCAAAATGTCCATGGACTTGTTTATCAATTGAGGAGGTGTTGGGTGCCAGACAATATGCTAGGTGCAGTTATTATACTCCTTGCACTTGGGGTTGTGGCAGACAGACAAGCAAGTGTTCCTACAACTATCAATTGTGCTGGATGATTCAAGGTGAGGAGGAATGAAGTAAGTGGAGTGGACATACTCTAGGCTGGTTGGATAGTTAATTTTAAAAGGTTTCTAGACATGGACTTGCCTAACACCCTCACAAGAAGAGGCATCAGAAGCACAGAGAGAAAGTAGCCCAGAGATAGATAAGGCCAAAAGCCAGCTGTCCTGTCTCCCTAACCCAGTCACTTTGCCAATTTTGTTAATGGTCCTTTTCCCTCATAGAAATATCCTTCCATGACCAGTGTCATTTTCCTGAAGAGCCTTTGAATCTCCAGACCACTTGTTGAGGCTACTTTATCCCAAAATTTCATATTTGCGTGCTGAATGAACTTTCTGGGCCATCTGTCATAGGCAAAAATAACCCCAAAGCACTAATCTTTCAGTTTTCATCAAACCTCACAAAAACAGATACTGTCTCCAGTGGGTAGGGACAAAAATTAGAGTAGAGATACTGACTTTCCTGAATTATTATGAAATTAAACAACATAGCAGAATCCTTAATCTGATAATTGGTATAAAAATAGCATGTTGGTATCTTAGAGCTGCCTTAACAAATGATCACAAACTTAATGTTTAAAACACTAGAAATGTATTCTCTCACTGTTTCGGAGGCCAGAAGTCCAAAGTCAGTGTACCATTTGGTCTACACTCCCTCCCACAGCTCTTGGGAAGAATTCTTTCTTGCCTCAGGCAGCTTCTGGTAACTCCAGGAATTTATTGACTTGTAGTTGCAACTCTCTGATCATTGACTCCATCTTCACATGGTCTTATTCTCTGTGTCTGCCTTCTTCTCCTCTGTCTCTTATAAGTACACTTGTCATTGGATTTAGGGACCATCTAGATAATCCAGGATGATCTCAACTCAATATTATTGCTTAATTACATCTGCAAAGACCTTTATTTTTAAGTAAGGTCCTGACAATGAACTCAGATTTGCCTGCCTGCCAGTTCTCAAGAGGGAGGTGCTAGTGCAAGGAAAGAGGGTTTATTCAGGTGCTGGCAACCTGAGAAAGTAGTGCCTCCCTTCCCCCCCCCCCCCCCACCTAAAAAAAAAAATATATTAACCTCTCAGTGGAGGAGAAGTTTTTTTTAGGAGGAAGAGGGAGAGCAGAACAAAGAATTTAGGTGGAAGAAGGCTGAAATTTCTCTTCCTGTAAGTCAGCATAGTCCATTCCAATAATTTTCCCAAAACTGGTCAGGCAGAGGGCTGATTTTTATGGTTGAGAATCAGCAAGTCTTTCAGAGCCAGAACAGTTGCTATAGTTAGCCTCCTCACCTAAAGCTAGTTCTTGGAACTCTTACACAAATATGTCACTTACCCACGGGTTACATATTAGTTAACAATACATCTTTTACAAAAATGCTTTTAACAGAAACAATATTAAAAGAATAGAGAGATGGGCTACAACTCCCCACTATCAATTTTTTTTTTTTCATTTTTATGGAAGTTTCTCTCTTTTTCCCCCCTAATTGGTAGCAGAGCCTTGGAAAATTAATTTGGCATAAAATATCAAAATCTATTATAGGATATGTTTTCTAGTTTGATCAAGAGGAGAAGCCTCAAGATGCATTTGCTTTTCAATCCTTGAGGCTTGTTTACATATCTTATGATACATAACATGATTAACTTAAATGTCATATAAAGGATTAAAATTAGTATTAGAAGAGTTAGGCCTAAATTTATAATTTCTCCCAAGGGAGACTTTAGTCCACAAAGTATCCAGAATAGGTCAGAAAACCAGTCTCTTATCCCTTGAAACAATGGGGTATGGTGATCTAAAGTCTGTTATAGCCAAGTGGCTTGCTGTATAATCTTATCACTGCTGGCTTCAACCTGTGAAGAAGTATTTATATAGATACAACAAGAAGTGAATTATACTCAGTCATACATACTCCTCCTTCTTCAGCAAAAATATAATCTAATGTTATCCTATTATATACTTAATACTACTTTTGCTAACGAGTCTACAGATTTTTGCAGATTGGCAAGTGAAACAGCAGTTTCATGGGCTGTAAGTATTAATGTTCTAGATAGGGTACATAAAATATGACAGTGGACTAACATGTCCTACTATGGCAGGATAGTATAACCAAAGCAATATTTGTCCTTGTCTGGGAGGTATCTTAGAAGATCTAGAGCTACTTGAGTGAATAGCTCAAGCAAGCTATTCCAGTGGCCAGTCTCATTTCCTGGGTTGATTAATAAAGGAGTAACTAATGATCCTAGAAAACATTGTCTAGTATCAGGTTTTACCTGTAATACCTTTAGATTTGGGTGAATTCCTTCAGTTCTAGAGGTCACAAAAAAAAAAAAGATGTTGAGGAATTTTCTTGCAATCTTCCAGGAAAGCAAACTTTGCTCCTTACCTGGAAAGACTGCCTTGAGCCATGTGAATAAGTAAGGTATCAGGCCATTTCTGCAGGGGCTTTATTTGGTTTCAAAGTCTATCTTAATTCCTTAAACCGTTTTGGTGTCATCAGAGACTAGGCATGTCTCTCTCAAATATGACTTTTCAATCAAGGTCTTGGCTAATAAAACCATAATTGGGAACCAGTTTTGTGTTCTATTATTTTAAAAAATCAGATTCTCATTTAATTTATGCAAATAAACATATTGCCATGGAAACAATAATACTCATTAAGAGTTTCTACATTCTGGAGGGGTCAGGTATGGAGACAAATATATAATTTACCAAATTGCTTTTAAAAGTAAGTCTCCAGCCAAAACCAGTTTGGCTCAGCGGTAGAGCATTGGTCTGTGGACTGAAAAGTCCCGGGTTCAATTCCAGTCAAGGGCATGTACATTGGCAGCTGGTCGATGTTTCTCTCCCGTAGACATTTCTAGATCTCTATCTCTCTCCCTTCCTCTCTATTAAAAAAAAAAAAAAATCAATAAAATATATTTAAAAAAAAAAAAAAGTAAGTCTCCTTATATCTGGCAAGTAAGAAGAAAATTCTTATTGTTGTTTTTAACAAATTATAAAATAATCAAATTCCAATACTGTATTATCTTACTTTGGATTCTTAAACTTATATACTTAATTAAATTAATTATTCAGCTTACTTATATAATTTCATTTCAAAATTCCTCTTCCCAAACCTTCTACAAACTTTCACAAACCTTCTTACCTATATATATAAAAGCCTAAGCAACAGAATGAAAGGTTGACCAGTCCCTATGACACACACTGACTACCTGGAGTAGACGCTCAATGCAGGATCTGCCCCCTAGTGGTCAGTGTGCTCCCACAGCGAGAGCACCACTCAGCCAGAAGTCCCAGCTCATAGCTGGTGAGCACAGCTTCTGCAGCTTGAGGTTCTCCCACCTCCACTACAGCGCTACCAAGTGGTGGTAGTGGCAGGTGCAGGGGACATGGATGAGCAGTGGTGGCACCTGGCCCCAGCTCAGGCTCCTCCCCGGCCACCTGCCACTTTGTGCACTACTGCATCCCTTGGGGGTTCTTAATTCCCGGTTTCAGCCTGATCCCCACTGGCCAGGCTGAAACCAGCAGTCTGAGAGGTTCCAGATTGTGAGAGAGCACAAGCCAGCCTGAGGGACCCCACCCATGCACAAATCCTTGCACCGGGCCTCTAGTTCAGAAATAACCAACTTTAGAACAATTCATGTTCTTCCTTTGCCTTCAGAAAGTATCTTCATACTTTATACCTTCTAATCACAAAACCATAATTCTTAACTTTTAGAAACCTTAATTTTTTTTTAATGACAACTAAAAAGTAAGCTATTAGCATTCTTTAGACTGGCAAAACATATTTCATAACTTCTAGAAACAGGTTAATACTCTCACTATTTTCTTAGGTGAGGGAAAAATCACTAAAAGGAAACCTTTGATTTAAAAAGAGAAAATAATAAGATTACCTATCTTCTCTTTCTTAAAAAAAAAAAATCAATAAGATGCCTATTTACACATATACAGGTCCTGCTAAGAACAATCAATCATGACCGAAAGCACTTAGAAAATATTTTGTCCAGCCAAAGCGGTTTGGCTCTGTGGACTGAAAGGTCAGCCTGCGGACTGAAAGGTCCCAGGTTTGATACTGGTCAGGGGTATGTATCTTGGTTGAGGGCACATCCCCAGTGGGAGGTGTG